ACCACCATTCACAGAAAAAAATGAAGTACATAATACACCTCTCACCTTCACCATATGTTAACTACACAACTGTTTTCATTCTCTAGTTCCTAAAGTTAACAGTGTGACAAATTAGAAGCCAAAAGGAACAATTTTGGTAGTGAGAACTACTAATGCAAACATCATATTCTGAACTTCCAGTCCTCAGCTGAGATAATAAATAACATTTTGTTCAACAGAGTGCTTGTGTAATTGTTACATGCACAGAAAAAGCACTTTTTCCTACTCACCTCCTGGAGGTCTGACAATTGTTACAGCATCACTTATCAAGCTGCCCTGGCTGTTGGATGCATTCACTTGCACTGTGTAGTGAGAAAATGGAATCAGGCCTTTAATGGTACCCACACATTGAATTTCCTGCTGCTGCAGAACATCTGAGTAATTCTAGTTATAGCAGAGTGATTACTCAGCAGCTCAACATCTTCCATTGCTTCTAAAAAAAAGCCAAGGAGGACTTGCAAGTTTCCTAACCTAAATTTTACACAGACAAAAGCTGTTTTTATCTCTCTTCCCAGCCAAGCCACTTACTGCTGCTGGCAAGGAAAATGTTAGAAGAACATTTTTAAAATGCAGGTCTTGCTGGGGCTGACTTGCAATTTGCAGCTTTGCCACTTCTCACTGCTTCACCTCAGCTTTCAGTGGGCTGGAAAATGCAGACCCAGAGGTTCAGCCTGACAGAGAGTGACACAGTGATAACCCTGTCACATCATTCCATGCCATTCCTGCCCAGCCTGCCCCAGTGGGGACCCAATTGGTGAGGAGAAGTGGATGAGGCCTCTCTTTTTCCATTTTTCATGTGTGTTTTCCTCTCCATCCTGCTCACAGATCCTACTGTAGCCTTACCAGCAAGTCTGCTGCAGATCTAAACAGCAGGTGCCTCAGGTACCAGGAAAGTCCTAAAAGACATTGTTTCCTTCAGACAAGTGGTTTGTACCAGAGCACCTCCTTGTTCCTGCACTCGGCCTTGTCATTGCTGCCAGGAACAGACACCAGCACTCCAACAAGCAAGGTCTCTGCACAACACAGGAACAACCTAAAGAGGCAGGAAACAAACTCCTAGATCTGGTTCACCGTGTCCTTCAACACTTAAGACATTGTAAACAACTGTACCAAAAGTTGAATTGGAAGGGGAGGAGGCTCAGAGCCACCATCTCCTGTAAGCTGTTAAAAAAGACTAAACCCTTTGCAGACGTGAAGGGCTTCCCGAAGCTCCTTCATCTTTCCATATTTGTGTATAGTGATGGTTTTGCTCTTTTACTGAGCCTTCCCACTCAGCTCTCCATAGCTCCCCCAAAGTGTCNAGAACATTTTTAAAATGCAGGTCTTGCTGGGGCTGAGTTGCAATTTGCAGCTTTGCCACTTCTCACTGCTTCACCTCAGCTTTCAGTGGGCTGGAAAATGCAGACACAGAGGTTCAACCTAACAGACAGTGACACAGTGATAACCCTGTCACATCATTCCATGCCATTCCTGCCCAGCCTGCCCCAGTGGGGACCCAACTGGTGAGAAGTGGATGAGGCCTCTGTTTTTCCATTTTTCATGGGTGTTTTTCTCTCCATCCTGCTCCCAGGTCCTACTGTAGCCTTACCAGCAAGTCTGCTGCAGATCTAAACAGCAGGTGCCTCAGATATCAGGAAAGTCCTAAAAGACATTGTTTACTTCAGACAAGTGGTTTGTACCAGAGCACCTCCTTGTTCCTGCACTCGGCCTTGTCATTGCTGCCAGGAACAGACACCAGCGCTCCAACAAGCAAGGTCTCTTCACAACACAGGAACAACCTGAAGAGGCAGAAAACAAACTCCTAGATCTGGTTCACCACGTCCTTCAACACTTAAGACATTGCAAACAACTGTACCAAAAGCTGAATTTGAAGGGGAGGAGGCTCAGAGCCACCATCTCCTGTAAGCTGTTAAAAAAGACTAAACCCTTTGCAGACGTGAAGGGTTTCCCGAAGCTCCTTCATCTTTCCATATTTGTGTATAGTGATGGTTTTGCTCTTTTACTGAGCCTTCCTGCTCAGCTCTCCACAGCTCCCCCAAAGTGTCTGAGGGCCTTCTTTCCCTAAGCCTGCTATTTGAGAAGAACCTCAGAGAAACTCTTCCCACTTTATTCGCAGTTTATACCAGATCAAAGGATCTCATTTTTTCAGGAAAAGATCCAAATGAAGAAATTAGGGCTAAAGAATATCCATATCCATACTTAAAAATTATGTATACTTGAAACAAAGTCAATAAATAAAACATGCTTACGTTAAAAAGACACACAAATACATATTCCATTCAAAATCACTGCTAAAAAATCCTAAGCTTCAAACAGCACTCTGGCTGGTGAGTAGCTGTGTTTGAAGGTTCACTGTGTTTTTGAGTGGACACTTTGCAGGGGGCTCTCAAGCAGATGTGCATTCCTGTTACTAAGCACCCCTGTAAAGAGGTGAATTAAGCTCCTGGGGGTCANGAGGGATTGTTTTTGCTCAAGGACCTGGTTCCACCTGCTGGGTAATGCAAAAAGATGGGGAGACGTGTACCACAAGGGGACCTAATTTTGAGTGAGAATGGTCTGTAATGTTTCATTGTGTATATATATATATATATATAGATGTATATAGTTTTAAAGGGATATAGTTTTTAAAGGGGGTTAATTTGGGCATGACATGGATGGCATAGAATAAGCCCCAGACCCCGTTTTAGACACAGCAATGAAGGCAAAACTTCTTATCCTGCCAGAAGAACAACCACGTTTCCCACATTCCACACACAGAATCCTGCAGGAGCAAAGTTATTTTGTCTGACATTACTCTGATGGACCCAGGCTGCTCAACCAGCACCACAAAAATGCATCCACATTCCTTGAACTCAGCTCTTCAATTGGACATCAAACCCTCCTTCTGCACCTTTGTGAAACTGTCCCTGGGGGTGATTTGGGAGCAGATACAACCCAACAAAGCACATTTCTCCTGTCATCCATCACAGTTTCTCCAGTGTCTGCCACTGAGTACTTGTGACCATCACACAACAACATGTGACTGTCATATGCACCTATTATTTTATTAACAATAAAGTCATTAGAAATGGTCAACTGTATATATGATATATACATTCTTAAGGTTCTAGTGACATGAAATAATTAAGGACACAGCGGGTGGTGGAAAACAGATGCATTTTTTAAACATTTCCCCTCCAATGAGTAGGAAAGTTTAAAAATTAGTGTTGATAGATTGGCACACAGGATAGATTCAAACTTTAAGTATAAAAGTGGGTTGCCTAGTAGCAATTTATATGCCAAATTCATGAGAAAATTAAACTTTTTCTACCTACAGTACAGTTTTAACATGTTAATATTTTTATTTTCATCCGCCTGAGCCTGGAAGGAAAACATGTGCTTCCTCTGCTGATATTTTTATTCCATTATTAATCTTTCTTCCAATGGCTTATATATTATATTTTAAAAATACCGTTTTGAGTAATAGAATATAAATTAAAAGGATAACACTCTATTCCAAGTTGCCTGGATAACAACATTACTATACAGTAATTATACAGTTAGTTGTAACATTAAATTCTAGTTATAGCAGAGTGATTACTCAGCAGCTCAACATCTTCCATTACTTCTAAAAAAAAGCCAAGGAGTACTTGCAAGTTTCCTAACCTAAATTTTACACAGACAAAAGCTGTTTTTATCCCTCCTCCCAGCCAAGCCACTTACTGCTGCTGGCAAGTAAAATGTTAGAAGAACATTTTTAAAATGCAGGTCTTGCTGGGGCTGAGTTGCAATTTGCAGCTTTGCCACTTCTCACTGCTTCACCTCAGCTTTCAGTGGGCTGGAAAATGCAGACACAGAGGTTCAACCTAACAGACAGTGACACAGTGATAACCCTGTCCCATCATTCCATGCCATTCCTGCCCAGCCTGCCCCAGTGGGGACCCA